GTTGTTGCTACCTAATAACCTAAAGAATAATTTGAAACATAACCATTGCTGCTGACCCAATGACTGTTAGGATAATACAATATTCCTTACTACCCATAATTCACCACAGACAAGCATATATAAACAGAAATATGAAACAGGACAATACAATAGATCTTAATACCCATAATTCACAACTAACCAGTATATATAAACAGAAATATGAAACAGGATAATACAATATTCCTTACTACCCATAATTCACCACAGACAAGCATATATAAACAGAAATATGAAACAGGATAATACAATAGATCTTAATACCCATAATTCACAACTAACCAGTATATATAAACAGAAATATGAAACAGGATAATACAATAGATCTTAATACCCATAATTCACAACTAACCAGTATATATAAACAGAAATATGAAACAGGATAATACAATATTCCTTACTACCCATAATTCACCACAGACAAGCATATATAAACAGAAATATGAAACAGGATAATACAATAGATCTTAATACCCATAATTCACAACTAACCAGTATATATAAACAGAAATATGAAACAGGATAATACAATATTCCTTACTACCCATAATTCACCACAGACAAGCATATATAAACAGAAATATGAAACAGGATAATACAATAGATCTTAATACCCATAATTCACAACTAACCAGTATATATAAACAGAAATATGAAACAGGATAATACAATAGATCTTAATACCCATAATTCACAACTAACCAGTATATATAAACAGAAATATGAAACAGGATAATACAATATTCCTTACTACCCATAATTCACCACAGACAAGCATATATAAACAGAAATATGAAACAGGATAATACAATAGATCTTAATACCCATAATTCACAACTTTTAAGTATATATAAACAGAAATATGAAACAGGATAATACAATATTCCTTACTACCCATAATTCACCACAGACAAGCATATATAAACAGAAATATGAAACAGGACAATACAATGAATCTTAATACCAATAATTTTTAACCAGTATATATAAACAGAAATATGAAACAGGATAATACAATATTCCTTACTACCCATAATTCACCACAGACAAGCATATATAAACAGAAATATGAAACAGGATAATACAATAGATCTTAATACCCATAATTCACAACTGATCAGCATATATAAACAGAAACATGATAATACAAAAGACCTTACTACCCATAATTTACCACTGACCAGCATATATAAATAGATACATGAAACAAGATAATACAATAGATCTTAATACCCATAATTCTCCACTGATGAGTATATATGAACAGAAGCATAAAACAGGGTAATATAATATTCCTTACTACCCGTAATTCACCACTGACCAGCATATATAAAGAGAAACACAAAACAATTAGGATAATACAATAGATTTTACAACCCATAATTCACCATTGACCAGCATATATAAACAGAAACATGAAACAGACTGTTGCGACAATGTATTTTTCATTATATTATATATATATATATATATATATATATATATATATATAATGCCGATGCATTTTGCTAATTGTATTATTACATAAAGTTACAACTTTGAGGCCTCCGAATCAGGAATGAATTCACTACAGCAGTAAATGTCTGTTATTTTAACTGGATAACCATTATGCCATAATGCACTCCCATAAATATAGAATGTACATCCTGGTTAGTGCTGTTACATAAAGATGCATAGTTTTTAGCTGAATTTTGATCTAAAATTTTCATTGCATAATGTCCAATCTAGGTGATTAATATTTACTTCTGAATTAAGTGAAATCACAAGGAATGAGGTTATGTTGAGAAAAAGATATTTGCCGTGTAAATTAAATTACTCTCTTTCATCATCAATCTACAGTTTTATTGATAGAGTTTGATTAAATATAACATCTTTCTTATTTGTAATTTATTGACCCAGAATGTTGTGATAAAAAGCAACAATAACAGAAAGGAATACAAACAGTACAAAAACAATAAGTATATAGTTTCTGCTCTTTTTATGTTATCAATGTAAGCTAATATTAAGTAGTTATTTAAAAGTTATTTTAATGATTTTTAGGTAGAACCCAACTGATTGTTACTTAGCAGTAACCATTTTAAAACTTTATAATATTTACATAAAATTACTAATATCTGATAATTAGTTTTTGTAATTCTACATAGGGAGGCATGGTGGCATGGTATAGCGGCTCAGATTGAGGAATTTGAGAGCCGAATTCAAATTCCAGTCAAATCCATTATATCGAAAGATACATGACTGCCTAAGCGTGTATCACTCATGGCACATAACTGACAATAAAAATGGACTATTCTTAAATTAAATCTTAATAAATTGATATAAAAGCAAGCAGCTTGGATTGCAGAATCAGTGAACCAACTTCAAATTCCAGTCAAATCCATTATATTCACTTACGTGCTAATACCCTTGGGAAAGGTATGGATCCTCTTATTCTCCCTCCAGCTATGGGTAAGTAACAGGACAGACTGGGTTCTATAACCTTAGATGGTAACTGGTCTACCACAGAAAAAAATGGCAACCTAATGTGGGAGAAAATCTGCCTCATCAGTCATGTATCGAAAGATACATGATCGCCTAAGCATGTATTCCATATGGCACATAAATGAAAAACACAACTTGCTAACGAAAAAAAAAAACAAAACAATGAAGAACATCTAATATAGTGTGATGGTGAGAAAGTGAGTCAAGGAAAGATTTTTGTTAGATATCTATAATATGGTTCACTAGCAGCTCAGATTGAGGAATATATTACATTCACTTACATGCTAGTACCCTTGGGTAAGGTATGAATCCTCTTCTACTCCCCCAGCTATGCTAAATAGCAGGACAGATCGGGTTCTATAGCCTTGGATGGCAACTGGTCTACCGCAGAAAGAAATGACAACCTACTGCAGGAAAAAAAAAATCTGCCTCGTCTATCATGTATCGAAAGATACATGATCACCTAAGTGTGTATCATGCATGGCACATAACTGACTGAATTTTATATAAAAAAATTGGAACATATATGAGTAAATTTGAGGGATGTTTTCTTGACACAGAAATGATTAAAATTTAAAAGAATCCACTGCACCACAAAAAGTCCAAGCTATTAATCATTATATCATCCATGCATTTCTTTACCAGAATATGTAACATTTTCAATTTTAATGGTATGAATATGTAGATATGAGTACAATAAAAAATATATGCTATTTTTTCTTTCTCATGAAGAAAGAAAATTGATTAATTATTTTTATAGAGAAACAATCCAATTCTTGCCTTTGTTTCAAACTCGGGATCTTATATGAAATTTATTTAGATTAATGCTGAGTTTCTCAGTTTGTCTTCATTCATAGTCTTTTTACAGATATATTTTATATATATATATATATATATATATATATATATTGCCAATGTTCCTATTTATTTATTGTTAAATAGATATGAATAAGATCAATATGAGTAGGCTGAAAAAAATATTAGGAGATACACAAAGGTCTAAACAAATTGAGACAGATGATATATTTATATATATATATATATATATATATGTATTTGTGTGTGTGTGTGTATATATATATATATATATATATATATATATATATATATATATATATATACACACACACAAATATTTACAGGGTTGGTACACATAGAATAAAATTCAAATAACCAAAAGACACTATTCTTAAAAGGGTGCTCAATACCAAGTAGAGCTAACAATATTTATTCAAATTTATAACATATGCTAGTTATAACATCACTACAAAATTTTCAATTTTGCTTTGACCCTTCTGGTGTCACTTGATAAGACACCAGAAGGGTCAAAACAAAATTACAACTATTGTAGTGATCTTATAATATGCAGATGTTATAAATATGAATGTATGTGTGTGTGTGTGTGTATATATATATATATATATATATATGTATGTATGTATGTATACTGTGTATTTGGGCAGCAATCCCAATTGTGAGAGACTAGCAAAAACACCTTGTAACACCAAAGATGAACTCAAGGTATGCATTATGGCAGCATTCACCAACTTAAACAAAGAGAGCACCCAGAAGTGTTTCAGGAAATTCTTAAGTCATCTGGAGGCTGTGGTTGAAGCCAATGACAATTTTATTGAATAAATTTACTCTTTAGTATTTCAAGATATTTTTCTGTAATTTTGGCAAATATATCCATTAAAATGAGATGCCAGTATTATTTTCATTTTCGTATAATTTAGATGATAATTTATCCATTGCAACCTGCATTTATATCAACTGTCTCAACCTGTTTATACCTCTGAGTATCTCCCAATATTTTTTCAGCCTACTCATATTGATCACATTCATATCTATTTAACAATAATTAGATAGGCACATGCACTATATATATATATATAAAATATATATATATTTATGGCATGTGGTCGAGTGGTTAGAACATTTGCTTTCTGACCATGAGAGCCGGATTCCAATCTCACCATGGTTGATCTGATTTGTCAGGAAATAGACTTCCTGACATTATTGGTCTGGAGGCAATAATCTCAGTATGTGGCACCTTTGGAAAGTGCCTGAAAACAACACCACAGGTGAATGAAATTGGGCAGACAGAATCCTTGGGGGCCGTCGATAACGGTGCTAGCACGAAGTCATATGTCATCGTGACCTAGGGCTTGAGTGTGCTGGCCTTGTTCAGATTGTTGATCATGCTAGATGACACACTCTCTCCCAGAAACTGTAACTAAGGTCTGCTCAACATAGTTGCAGTATAAACCACAGATTGGCTCCGTGGGTGTTGAGCAAACACAATGTGCCTGAGTGAGAATCTGAAATAGGTATTGGCTAGCCGCCCTAATAGATGGGTATCCTCAAATATGAGTGGTCAGCTATTATCATATATATATATATATATATATATATATATATATATATTAAGCTTATTCATATTTATTTATTTCAAACTGATCATTTTTAATAATGTATATTCATAGATAGAGAGAAAAACTGAAACAGACTAAAGGACTTGAATAGATAGATAGATAGATAGATAGATAGATAGATAGATAGATAAACTGATAGATATAATTGAACATATGAAGATCGATAGCAAGACAGAAAGATTTTGATCTCTCTTCCCCTTCATAAATATGATGAATCATACATTAATCTTTGGGTGAACTTAGGAATTTGGAATGATGGTGATGGAATATAGCGTATTTTCTTCATCGTAATTGAAATTTATCAATTTTTTAAGCAGTTTTTAATTCTACTTCTTCATTCTCCTCACCCCCTCCAAAAATATTTTCTATTTAGGGCATTTCAAAAGTTTATTCTTCATACCTTTACAGTAACCACTTTCTCCATCAGTTCTCTGGAAAGAACATTAAAGATAATAACATCTAGGTTTGTATAAGTGTGTGCTCGCATATATCTGTATATTATAGAAAACCATAATACATCTAAAGCGTATTGTTTTTATTTATACTGCATTTGATTTCAGTTATTTTTTCAATATGAGTCACTGTTAATAAGCTTTATATTTTATATGTCAAATGAATACTTGATATATATATATATATATATATATATATATATATATATATATATATTATATATATATATACACAGGTAATAATCCGTTGGTATATAATCCAAGTGAATCCTATTGATACAATATAAAATATTAAATATTAAAATATTAAAACTGATTCACACAGAGAGCTCAATGTTTTGAGCAACATATTTTTTATACAATAGGAATTAAGATTACATTAGGTTAATTACCATTTTCAACTTGTAAATTGAAATAAAATTTACAAGGACTTTTCAAAACAGTCAAATATTGAAATAAATATTTTATCATCCATTGACTGGTTTGAAAAGGACTAATAAATTTTATTTCAATTTACAAATGAAAAAATGTTTTAAAAAACTAATGTAATCTTAATTAAAAGAATATATATATATACAGATATATATATATATATATATATATATATATATGTGTGTGTGTGTGTGTGTGTTAAAGATGTGCTGAGTCATTCTTAGAAATAACCCTCTTTTCAAAGTCTGACCAAATGTTAGAATAGTATTTCTGACTTGGTTGGGCTAAGGACTTTTCACCAACACCTCATGTATTGTGGTTTTCTAAGCATTGCTTAGATGTTGTACAAGGCCAAAAGTATGGGATACCGATTGGGGATTGAACTCACTATGTGTGTGTGTAACCCATATTCAAATCTCACCATAGTTAATATGTCAGGAAGCTGACTTCTTGATGTTATTGTTTGTTATCTGGTGAGGCAGTCACAGTATGTGGAACCTTTATAACTGCTTGAAAGACACACCACTGGTTGAACCAAGCTTTATGAACAAAATTGGGTAGATGGAAATATTTGGAAGCTGTTGATAGTTGTGCTAACATTAAATCTCAGGTCATCATGACTGAGGGTTTGAGCATACAAGCATTGTTCAAATCGCTAATCATGATAGATTATGCACTCTCTTCCAGAAACTATAAATAAGGTCCACTCGGGATAGTTGCAGTATAAACTACAAATGTCTCTGAGCAGGTGTCTGTGACAGGAATCAGCTAGCCATACTAGTAGATGGGTGTGCTCAGAAAATGATAGCTACCCATTATATATATATATATATATATATATTAATGTATATTTGGGCAACCACCTTTCTTTTAAAGTTGCTTCATTGAATATGACAGACCAGGAAAATTCAATTCTTTCTTTTTTTTTTTCCCCATTTGATGGGAAAATAGGAGAGCAAAAAATGTCCATATTGTCCATTATCCCAAGCACTTTTTGTCACATCTTTAACCATTTTCCAGGGGGTTTGAGGTGTTGCTAATTTCATTTTTTTAACTGCTTAGGATGTATTTTTCTGTGTTTTGAATACTAGTAGACACATTCATTCCAAGCTTTTTGAGCACAGATGGAATTTAAGTGAGTGCCTTTATATTTTTAAAAAGCTTTTAACACACAATTCCCACTGGTGAATAAGGTGAGGTTGATAGTGGGACCAAGATGTTTTATATACAGAGCCTCTCTCACAGCAAGATGTTTCCAGTAATATGATTTACATAAAACTTTTGTTTTATCAACCAGAATTTTTCATGAGTGCGCTTGTAAATTGTAGGCAGTTAGATGTCTTTTTAGGGCACTTTGATCAGATAAGTGACAAGCGGAACATCTACTCAAGGAGGTGATAGCATAGCCAATACTGATAATTTATTTATGACAAGAAACAGTCTTGTACTGGTGAGTGAAACTGATGCACAATATTGTTCATCACTAGTTTAGATTTGATATTAGTGACAAGGTTTAGAGTTTTACATTTTCTGTAATATATTCAACAAAACATATACAGTGTTGTTCAATAAAAGTGACTCACTGATTTTTTTAAAGAACTAAATGTTCTCTTTATTTATAAACAAAAATAAGTTGAGCTAAAATTCAAAGGATAATGGATCTAAAATTTTGAACATTTTTTTTCAAAACTTTTTGAATTTAACAGTAAGTTCTATCAAGCATCCATTCAGCATCATGTTCTGGGTATGCTTTTCTTTTCAGAAAACTGGTTTCTTAAAACCTATAAAAAAGACCCGAGGGACTTTATAATGCTCAAATAAATTTTACATGGGGTTGCTCCCTTCTGGAGATTGGGTGCAAATGTCATAACACCAACCTGCTTTTCATCAAAGTATTCCTTCATCAATTTTGATTTGTGAGACAGGGAGCATTATCCTGCATAAAAATGAGCTTGGTGGGGTCGATTTGCACCCCTTTCAGCAGAAGGGAGCAGACAAGACTCTAAAATTTTCTTGCATGTTGCTCGCTCCTTTCTCTTTTCAATAGGTTTTAAGAAACCAGTTCCATGAAAAGAAAAGCATCCCCAGAACATTATACTGAACGGATGCTTGACAGTACTTACTCCTAAATTCAAAGAGCTTTCAAAGCTTCTTCTTCAGATTTTAGATTGCTTATCCTTTGAATTTAGCTCAACTTTCGTTTCATCGGAGAAGAGTACATTTAGTAAAAAAAATCAGGTGAATCACTTTTATCAAACAACACTGTGTAATATATATATATATATATATATATATATATATATATATATATATATATATATCTATGCACATGGCTGAGTGGTTAGAACATTCATTTTCTGACCATGAGACCCTGGTTCGAATCTTACCAAGGTCGATTTGTTAGGAAGGTGTTTTCTTGATGTTATCAGTCTGGAGGAGGCAATCCTTGTGTGCAGCACCTTCGGACAGTACCTGAAAACCATACCATGATTTGACCCAAGCCTTGTGAGTGAAATTAGATAGTTGGTACCCTTTGGAAGCCATCGATGATTGTGCTAGCATAAAATTACAAGTCATCAGGACCGAGGATTTGAGTATGCTGGTAATGTTCAGACTGTTGATCAAGCTCAACAATGCACCCTTCCAAGAAACTGTAATCAATGTTCATTCAGCAGCATTAGCGTATAATTCAAAGATGGGCTCTGTGGGTGTTGAACAAGCACAAATGTGCCTGAGCAGGTGTCTACAACAGGGATTGGCTAGCCACCCTAGTAGATGGCATCCTTAGATACGATTGCGGTCAGTCATTGTTCACTGGGAAGTTATTAAGTAAGATATATTAATGCCGTAGCATTAAATATGGCATCAAGCTCTTATTTTCTGGTGTGTCTTTGTAGCACACTCTCTTAATAGTTGTTCTCATTATACATTATTTAAATGATATGTTTTGATATGCAGGACTTTGAGGGCATAATATTGTCAAGTACTGTTTGGATAGCCAAAGATGCATTCCAAAAGCTAAGCAGGGTATTAAGAAATAGAAAACTTTGTTAGAAACAAGGAAAAGAGTACCTCACTGTTATGCAATATCTGTTGTCGGAAAATGTATTTATAAACAAAGAAGAGTACTGAACTGCTATGTAATATCAGTCCTCCTATATGGCAGTGAGTGTTGAACAATCTTGAAGCAACAGAAATATGGTTCTTCAGACAGATGCTGAGGATACCATGGACAAAAATGTGAGCAACAATGAGGTTTTAGAGAAAATAGAAACAAAAAGGAAACTTACACTTAACATCAGAGTTGAATTTTCTAGGGCACATAATAATGAGAAAAGAGGGCTTGGAAAATCTGATACTCACAGGACATATTGAAGGCAAGAGAGACAGAAGAAAACACCACATAACTTACTTAGCGAACTTGAGTAAATAGATGGCAGAACAGGGTTTAGGAAAAATAACAAAAAGACAAAATTTTTTAAGAGCTACAAATGACAGGAAATTGTGGAGAGCCATGATCACCTACATCCCAAGGGGGACATGCCACATAAAGAAGAATAATGGTGATTCCTCAGCATTTCCATCTTGGCCACATGGGCATTTTATGCTTTCGTGAGTTTAGTTGGTGTGTATATATTAAGCACATCTCAGCTATCATTGTTGTAATATCTTGAACGAGCTGAAAGTGAATAAAATGGTCATTTTCATTAAAAAAATAACAGTTACTGAGACCACCCCAAAATGCATGAAACTTTAGCTGTGGTCAGTCAGTGTTCACTGGGAAGTTATCTAGAAAATTATATATATATATATATATATATATTTATATTGAGAAAAGAGGACAATAAAAGGATAGAACGGAAGAAAGTTCCATAAGCAAGACTTGAAAGAAAAGAAACTATTAGTCTAGAACTTATGGTTAGATCTAGTAATTTCAGCCATGAAATTTTGATGAAGCCTACCTGCCAATCAAGTACTGCATTTAAATTCCTGAAATCAAGGTACCAAAGGAGAAAGCTTACCAGAACAATTACCATAAAGATATTTATAGAAAAGGAAATAGAAAGCTATGTTATGGCAGTGAGAAAGTGATTGAAGCTGACATGCCAGGTCAGAACCAATAATATTGCTGATTCTATTTTTAGATTTTGTCAAGAATTATATACCATAAGTCTACCATTCATCAATGCATTGGATACTGCTGACATGTCATCAATATCCAATGGACTGATGAATGGTAGACTTATGGTATATAAATACATTCTGGCAAAAAATTGTCTGGCTTGACACAGTGAACCAACTTTCCTAGCAAC